GAGTGTTTAGGATTTTCTGTGTATATGATCATGTCATCTGCCAATAGGGATAGTTCAAGGACTTCTTTTCCAATTTGAATGTACTTTATTGCTTTCGCTTGCATTATTGCTCTGGCTAGAACTTCCAGTACATGTGAATAGTTGTGGGAAAAGTGGGCATCCTTGTCTTGTTCCAGATCTTAGAGGAGAAGCCTTCAAGTTGTGTCCATTCAATATGATACTAGCTGTGGGTTTATCTTACATGGCCTTTATTGTGTTGATGTACAGTCCTTCTATACCTAATTTGTAGAGTGTTTCTATCACAAAGGGGTGTTGAATTTTATCAGTTTCTTTTTCTGCATCTATTGTAGTGATCATATTTTTTTCCCCTTCATTCTGTTAATGTGATGTTTTACAGTTACTGATTTGTGTATGAGGAAACATACATTCTTACATTCCTGGGATAAATTCCACTTGATTATGGTGAATGGTCTTTTTAATGTGTTGTTGGATTTGGTTTGCTAGTATTTTGTTGATAATTTTCATGTCTGTCTTTATTAGGGATATTTGTCTGTAGTTTTATTTCTTTTTATATATATATATAAAGATGACCAGTAAGGGGATCTTAACCCTTGACTTGGTGTTGTCAGCACCACGCTCACCCAGTGAGCTAACCGGCCATCCCTATATGGGATCCGAACCCGGGGCCTTAGTGTTATCAGCACCGCACTCTCCCGAGTGAGCCACGGGGCTGGCCCGTGGACATATTTTTTTAAATAAACAAATTTGGCTCTAGTCATTGAGCCTCTGCTGAGGACTCAGCAGCCTCCCCCACTCACTCCCCATTGCTCCCCAACGCTCTGCACCAACCCCCCCACTGCCTTCTGCAGGCCATTTTCACTGTGGAAATGTAATCATATCTTATATGTCCATTATCCAGAACCTCCATTCTTTTGACTCCTTTGCTGATGATGCAAGTAAGGATGATGACCTGCTTCCTGTTGACACTGAGGATTATATCCATATAAGAATTCAACAGAGAATGGCAGTTAGACCCATACTACTGTCCAAGGGATCACTGATGACTACAATAAAAAGAAACTAGTGAAGGCATTTAAGAATAAATTTTGGGCTGGCCCCGTGGCTCACTTGGGAGAGTATGGTGCTGATAGCGCTGAGGCCGTGGGTTCAGATCCTATATAGGGACGGCCAGTGCACTCACTGACTGAGTGTGGTGCAGACGACACCGAACCAAGGGTTGTGATCCCCTTACCGGTCAAAAAAAAAAAAAAAAGAATAAATTTGCCTGCAATGGTCCTGTAACTGAGCATCCAGCATATGGAGAAGTAATTCAGCTACATGACAACCAGCACAAGAACATATGCTGGTTCCTCCTAGAGGCCGGACAGGCCAAGGACCATCAGCTGAAGGTCCATGGGTTTTAAGTGTTTGTGACTCACTGAAGCTTAAGTGAGGATTTTCCTTGCAATGAGCAGAATTTCCCTTCTGTCACTTGTCACAAGTTTAAAACCTCACAGCTTGTATAATATAACCATTTAGGATCTGCTTTTTTTTTTTTTCCTTTTTGTCTTTTTTCGTGACCCGTAACGGGATCGCAACCCGGGATCGCAACCCTCAACGGGATCGCAACCCTCAGTGTCACGCCCGCACCGCACTCAACCAGTGAGCGGACCGGTCTCCATATGGGATCCGAACCCTCAGCGGGAGCTCCGCCGTGCTCCCAAGCACCGCACTCTACCGAGTGCGCCACCGCCCGGCCCTAGGATCTGCTTTTAACTTGGACTAATATAACTCCATCATGCAATAAATTGAAAAGAGCCATTAAAAGAAAAAAAAAAATTCTAGGTGGATTAAAAGCCTTAAATGGAAAAGCAACAACTATTCACCAGAGAAGTCAAACTAGGAACTACTGCAACACAGGCGAATATCTGTGTGACCTAAGGTTATGCATGGATGGATTTCTTAAAAGGCACAAGTATAAGCCATAAAGAAAAAGGACTGAAAAAAAAGTTTACTGTATTAAAAGTAAGAACTTTCTGTTCATCAGCAAAACACCATAAAGAGGAAAATGACAAGCCACACAAGACAAACACAAACACTGGGAAAGGCTATTCTAACACAGGTGACAAAGGAATCACATCCAGAAAATAAAGATTCCTATAAAACTTGTAAGAAAGAGACAAATACCCCAACAGAAAAATCTTTTCTGAGAAAAGAAAAAAATCCAAAAGGCCAGTAAACATGACAAAAGGCTCAATTTCATTAGTAGTTTGGTGAAATGCAAACTAAAACCACGAAACATTAATTTATACCCATCAGATGGGCAAAAATAGGAAAGTCTGAAAATTCACGTGTTGGTAAGTATTAAGCCTCCATAACACTTAGGCACTACCAGTGGAAGCATAAATTGTTATAATTGTGTTGGTATCATAGACCGAATGATTAGTGCTATCAAGACTATGGAAGTATTTGAATATATCACTCTTTTTTTTTTTTTTTTTTTTTTCTTTTTTCTTTTTCCGTGTCCGGCAACGGATCGCAACCCTCAGTGTCGCCCCCGCACCGGACCGGGGACCGGCAACGGGACCGCAACCCTCGGCGCTGCTCCCGCGCCTCGCTCAACCAGTGAGCGGGAACCGGTCTGTATGTGGGATCCGAACCCTCGGGCGGGAGCGCCACCGTGCTTCCCAAGCGGCGCACTTATCCAGTGCGCCACCGGGCCGGCCCTGAATATATCACTCTTGACTGTCTCATTTATCTTTATATTCTCAGCACATAGCACAGAGGTTCTCAAACTTTGTTATAATGTATGTTTTTTAAAGTTTACCATATTTTTATAATAAAAAATTAACTATTAAATAATAGGGAAATAATATCAATAATATCAAATAATAAGGAATTTATTTAATAAGTGACAGTATTATCTAAAGAAATACAATATTTAGTTAATGAACAGTATATATTTGAAGACAGCTTGATGGTATAAAAAAAAAAAAAACCAATATCAAGTAGAGAAAAGGGTAGTAATCAAAATTATATAATGTGATCTCTATTTTGTAAAAATACATTATTTTAAGAGACTTTTTTTTTGGGGGGGTGGGGGCAGCTGGCTGGTACAGTGATCCAACCCCTTTACCTTGGTGCTATAAAGCTGTATTCTAACCAACTGAGCTAACCAGACAGCCCTTAAGAGACATTTTTAAAAAGCAGGTAAAACACCAATTCTCAGTGATTCTCTTGGAGTTAAATTAAAGGTGACTTTTAAAACATTTTATATGTTATAAACTGTGAATTAGGAAAGGAGAAGGAAAATAATGTTCTACTTTATTTATCAAAAAGAAAAAAGTATTCCCTGACTTCCGGCTCTAGAGATTAACAAGTATTATATCACCAGAATGTTGGCAATTATCAGCCCCTCAGAGTTTAATGAAGGGACTCCACTACTGGCGCCCATCAAGGCTGGCCACTCCTTGACTGTTGCTACTCAGGATGAAACTGCAGTCTTCCATTCACTCTCAAATAGACTCAACCGGAGAAGATAGAAAAAACTCTTTTCCATCTCTGCAGAACAGCGGGCAAGAGATTCACAAGCCTAATGTTTACCTTGCGTACTTTGCCCGGCGTGGTGGGTGCCAGTCCTCGCCGCTTATTGGGTGTTCTGGGAGCACTGCCATAGAGCATCTCTGTCTCTGTCTGCTTCTTGTTCTTGAGTTGCTATGTAAAAGTCAAAAGCAACAGCGATAAATCCCAGTAAGAGAAAATGTCTGGGAAGGGAACAGAAGCAGGGCCAGAAATCTAGTGCCAAGACTCTGCAGCCAGAGCTAAAAAGCGCTGCATAGGCTACGTGTTCTTCAACGAACCCTGATCTCTGGCAGAGTCTGGCCTGTTCAGACTAGTATCTTCCTCTTTTACCAATCTATAGTCACACTCACTCTTTCCTGCTTGGCTCTCTCTTTCTCCGATCGATGCATCTCCCATTGTTCTGTCACATACTCCATGAATTTCTGCCCATTCACCACAAATGCCTTTGAATGTTCCTCTTCCCACATTTCAATCCGTGCCTTCAACTCCTCTTCCAGCTGAGACCAGAACAAGGACATGTTAATTATTTCAAGTCTTTGGTGTGAAGCCCAAAGGAGATGATTCTCCTAAAGAATGACTCCTCCCCTCTGCAGAGCATCGTTAGCCTAACTTCAGGTAGCTAGACCCATGTGGGACGGGTCAGAGTGACCAGAAGTCAAAGCCTAGGGATGGTTCATTCACAATATACATGCAGGTGGAAAAAGGCAAGAACTCTGGTTCTGACCACTAAGGTTTTTTTTTTTTTTTTTGTCTTTTGTCTTTTTCCGTGTCCGGCAACGGATCGCAACCCTCAGTGTTGCCCCCGTACCGGACTGGGGACCGGCAATGGGATCGCAACCCTCGGTGTTGCTCCCGCGCCTCGCTCAGCCAGTGAGCGGGAACCGGTCTGTATGTGGGATCCGAACCCTCGGGCGGGAGCGCCGCTGCGCTTCCCAAGCGGCGCACTATCCAGTGCGCCACCGGGCCAGCCCTGACCACTAAGGTTTTGGTGCCTAAAGCTGGAGGCAGCACCAGGGAAGATCAGCAACATTAAATAGGCAGTGTACATTAAGAGCAGGACTATCTGGGTTTCAATATGGAATCTACCTCTTACTGGCTTTGAAAAGGTGGGCAAATTACTTAACTTCTCAGTACCTCGGTTTCCTCATCTGTAAAAATGGAAATAAAATAATACCAACCTCATAGGGATATTGTGAGGATTATATGAATAAATGAAAACTTTTCTGACACAAGTGCTAATTATTATTATTACTATTATTAAAATAGAAAATAAGTAATGTTATGGGCTGAATTGTGTTCTCTCAAAATCCATATGTTGAAGTCCTAACCCCAGTAACTCAGAATGTGGACTGTATTTGGAGATGGGGTCTTTTAGAGGTAATTAAGTTAAAATAAGGTCATTAGCATGAGCCTTCTTCCAGTATGAATGGTTGTGATCAGGACATAGGCACACACAGAGGGAAGACTATGTGAAGACACAGGGAGGAAGGCAGCAATCAACACGCCAAAGAAAGAGGCCTGAGAAGAAACTGCCCTAACAATAACACCTTGATCTCAGACTCCTGGCTTCCAGAATTGTGAGAAAATAAATTTCTGTTGTTTAAGCCACACAATCTATGGTACTTTATTATGGTAGTGCAAGCACACTAATAGACGTTGATATTCAGTTGCTTACACTGAAAGCTCAACAAATACTTATTATTCCTGCCTAAGCTTTGGAAGAGAAGACAATTTTGAGGCAAAATAATACAAAGCAAAGGACATTCAAAAAGTGAGATATTTTGTAACCAAGCACCATAAACTGTTAGCAGCAATATTACCTTAGGGAGTGTCTTCTGGAGCTTGGCTCGTTGCTTTTCTTCTTTTAGAAGATTCCCTCCCCGGTTTGTAAATCGACTTGGATCCGAAGCTTTTCTCTGTGAAAAATACATTTTAGAGTAAAATCTGGGCCAGTCAGACCAATAACTTCTGCTAAGATTCCTTGCTCTCATAAACTGATATAATTAACCAACTGAGTTAGCTGGCCAGCTCCCACTTTTGGCATATTGAGATAGAATACAGTTTAAACATGCACAGTTAAGAGAATTATAGATATTCCATTATTTTTGCTAAATTAACCCTCACAAAATGGACAAGTTAAAAATGTGACTTGTTAAAGCTTCTCATTTATGTTTTTATTTTATAATGTATACAGTATATCAGAACAGTAATGGGTACATAATTTTAAATTATAAATTAGGTGTATATACTCAAAAAGAAGGATAGATAATCAGAAAAGTTCAGAACACATCCTTCACAATTTGGAGGCCAAACCTGTGAAGAAACTCTATTTCCTTTCCAGACTGCTTGATTTGTGACAGCCTATAAACAATAACTAGAAAGGACAGTAATTCATTTCTAATTTTTTCTTAAACACTGGCACATCAACAAAGGTTGCTGCATTAGCTCTTTATTCATGTTTACTCTTCCTCTTTCTTGCCTTCAACAAGAAATAAGGAATAACTGAGGACCAGGACACCTGTTCTTTAACAGCTGTAAGACCTCACACAGTTCTCTCCATTCCTGCCTATAAACTTGAAGGAATTGAACTAAAGATTCTCTTAAAGCCCTTTCGAGCTCTAACAGGGCCAACACGAATGAGGGTCTCCTTAAATTTTATGCCCTAGGTACTTCACTAGCCTCATCCTAATCCCAGCCCTGAGCTCTAATAGGCTCTGAAGGAACCTGTCTGTGCCAAGTCTATCAGAAGAAAAAGAATTCAGAGTAAATAAATGCACCCTAGCACCCAGGCAATTTTCCAAGAAAATAGCAAAAGTTGGAAGGTAGAGAATGTTAGTTGTCTGCCTCAACACCCATTCCTCTCTCCTTCCTTAGTAAAAGAACCAGGATCTGTCTGGGGCGGCTGGCGTGGCATCTAAGCAGAGGTGCTGTGAAGAGAGCCTGGGAAGAGCCCTTAAAGGTGTGGAGGGGCAATGCTTTCTTTGTTCTTTCCTCCACCGTATTTCCTGAAATGTGGCCATTAGGATGGGAGCTCTAGCAGCCATCTTGGCGATGAGGATGAGGTCCACCCCTTAGTGGTGGGGGAGCTCTGATCTGGGTAGAATCCCGGGGCCCTGCTCACTGTTTAGAACCGCCTTGCCTCGCCTGCACTGCCCACCTCTGGACTTACTTCATGCAACAAACTTCTACCTTTTCTTAAGCTATTAATTTGTGTTTTTTTCTCTTAAATTCCCCTGCACATTAGCTTAACAAATATAGAGGGTTAGCAGTAATTCAGAGAGAATTAATGATAAAGACAGAGTATAAAAAGCCTGGTTAAAAAAAACAAAGGAGAGGGGCCAGCCCAGTGGCACACTCGGTAGAGTGCGGCGCTTGGGAGTGCAGCGGTGCTCCTGCCGAGGGTTTGGATCCCATATAGAGACCGAGGGTTGCGATCCCGTTACCGGTCACGAAAAAAAAAAAGACAAAAAGGAAAAAAAAAAAAAAAAAAAAAGAAAAAAAAAAAAAAAAAAAAAGAAAAAAAAAAAAAAAAAAAAAGAAAAAAAAAAAAAAAAAAAAAGAAAAAAAAAAAAAAAAAAACAAAGGAGAGTAGACTCTGTATAAAGGGCATTATTATTATTTTTTTTTTAAGCAGCTGGCCGGTATGGGGATCATAACCAACTGATCTAACCAGGCAGCCCAGGGCATACTTTCTTAACACTTCATTTTACTCTAGAGAAAACAAAAACAGGCAAAAACTAGAGCAGTACCTCAAACTCTAAGAAAAGCCGCCAGCTATCTTCCCACTTCTGGACACCTTCAAAGAGTTCCTTGTGAACGTCATAGTATTTTCTTAACTGCACAATCTCGGCATCATGGAGCTGGAGCAGATCTTCTGTATAGTCCTCTGCAAAATATGACCCAGGAGTTAAAAAAAATTTCTGTAGTATTTGTATCCCGATTTTCTAACCCCCATTTCCCTAAAATGGAAATAGACTTTGCTTCCTTATAACAAAATGATGATACAGGAATAAGTATATATATTGTGCTAATAGAAGCCAGGTTTGTTGGGCTGGCTGGTTAGCTCAGTTGGTTGGAGCACGGTGTTCTAACACCAAGGTCAAGGGTTCAGATCCATATGTGCCAACCACCAAAAAAACAACAACAACAAAAACAAAGCCAGGTTTGTCATGATCAGCCCAGGGGAACTATATTTAACATTCTCAAAAATCTGTGCCATCTCTTACCTTATCTTTGGTTTATTTCATATTCTTCCTTTCTACCATGCCTAGCCAATAGAGGGTCGGGTCACAGAAAATGTCCAAAAATGTCTGTTGAACTTAGTTAGGAAAACTTCATGTTTATATTCAGTTCAAGTCAAACTAGAATTCCACTGGGCTCTAGGAATCAGACTAATCTGGGCACAAACATAGGCTCTGGCATTTTCCTGCTACTTTAATGTTTTCACTCTTTTTTTTTTTTTTTTTTCTAAAGATGACCGGTAAGGGGATCTTAACCCTTGACTTGGTGTTGTCAGCACCACGCTCAGCCAGTAGGGGAACCGGCCATCCCTATGTGGGATCCGAACCCGGGGCCTTGGTGTTGTTAGCACCACACTCTCCCAAGTGAGCCACGAGCTGGTCCTAGTATTTTCACTCTTGACATGAGGATTCAGTGAAATGATATTCAGGGTTTGAAACTGCACGTGGCATAGAGTAAGCACCTGATAAACTTGAGCTTCAGAGCTGGAGGATACTGTGACAAATTGCTTCAGAAAGCAAGAGAACCCATATTTCCCAATGGCATTTGCAAATGCTTATTTGTACAGGAATGGCAATTTGGCTGACTGTCTTGAAAAGGTAATACTTCCTGGTGAATGTCTATGCACATAAAAAATCTGTGAGCGGGTCTCATGAAGATCATTGCTTCTGTACTAACCAGAATAGTAAGGAGCAAATGCTTGTCTCTGCTCCTGGCTGTAAAAACACTGGTCCCAGTACTGAGTCAGCTCGATTCGAATTGCTTCAATCACTTTCTTCATATTTTGCATTTTCAGTTCTTCCAACCGATCCACTTCTAACTGCAGCTAAAAGAAAAAGACCCATTAAAGATGGTTGTCATACTTTTATATTCACTTGGGTTTGCAAAAGTTTCTCTTTTTAATAAAACTACAACTCAAAGTTATAGAAGTAAATCAACGCTCTTTATAACAATGATGTTATAGGAGCAAGAAATCTAAAGAACATACACAAAAGATAGATGACCAGGCTGGCCGGTTAGCTCAGTCAGTTACAGCATGGTTTTATAACACAAAGGTCAAGGATTCAGATCCCCATCCCAGCCAGCCCCAAATAAAGAAAGGAAAGAAGAAAAAATTATTGTTTTTAAAAGAAGATAGCCAGGCTACTGCTATCCTTTTCTGACACTTGTCTTAAAAATAGGCTGGCCCAAGGCAGAAGCTGGAAAGGACATCAGACTGGACACAGAAATGCTCGTAGAAGACTGCTTACCCAGCACCCCCCTGGGTTTCTTACCGCGTTTTTGACCTTGGCCTTTGACCCAGTCATAACCGTGGCCACAGCTTCTCTCTCTTTTGCAGGTATTTGCAACCTGTCCCACAGCTCTCGAATTTGAGCACGCAGCCCCTCACACACTGCTTCATTTTGTGATTTTTGCATTTCCAGCTATCGCAAGGAAAGCCAGTGGTTATTCATAGCAAAGCAGCAGCACAGAGAAGGCTAGCCCTCTGGCCTCCCACAAAGAAATGTCTGGATCCACATGAAGAGGAAGCACTTTTAAGAGATTTTGAAAAGGTCTGTTATCACGCCTTCCGAACCAATGCTGTAAAGCCATCACTGTGGTAGTATCTCAGACACCAAGAATTACAATTCAAATTTTGAATTAAAAAAAATTTCTTTCAGTTAAACACTAGGCTAATTAAAATGATTAGTATTATTTCATCCAAAATCTTAATTTCATATTCTCAGAGCTACATATAAATTAAGTTTGTTAATAATAAAAAAAATCAAAGTTGTGCATCATATATTACTATCCCTATGCTACCTCATTCTCTTAATTTACATCAGCTCTTTATTTAAGACTGAAGAAAAAAACTCAAGTTTTTTCAAACTGCCGTGTATTATGGAGATGCCAGGCTAAAATTTGAGAAGAAATTACCTGCCGTAGCAACTTTTGTAGTGTTGCAATATTCTCCAAAGATAAACAAAAAGCATCTTCATCTTCACACACCACATCTTTTTCAAAACTTGTGTCTGGGGTGTGATCTAATTCTTCCATACACAGTATGATTTGTCTCTTTATGTTGACAAACTCCTCACGCCTAGATGCCTATAAAACAAAGCAAATACAAGATACCTAAGAGGAAACCCAAACTGACTTTTAGAAAGTATGAATGCAGGCGGTATACCTTTGTTTCCCTCAAAGTTGCCACGTGTTGTCTGAACTGGTTCAGCTCTTCTAAGCTGGGAACTGAGGCGCTGTCAATGTCATAATGGGGCATGCAAAGAATTTCACACAGTTCTTGATCTTGTTCTTGAAGTAGCTTCAGTTCCTGTTTTCTCTCCTTCTTCTGTTTTCTCATCAATTCCACCTGAGTGCGCAAATCTTTTTCTAGTTGCAAGATAGTTGTCTCTCCTTCTTCCTGTGTAAGACAATGCACCTTTGTTATAAGGTTCCAAGTGAATTCCTTCACAGGAACAGAAGGACAATAGAAGAGGGCTAGCATGACAGACTTTTAGTTAAACTTACAATAAGTCAACTCATGGCCAACAGAATATGGCACAAAGGTCTCCTATAGAAGGTCTCCAACAAGAAAAGTGAAGAGGTACCAGAGCACTTTTTCTTCTTTGCCCCCAATTTTTAAAATTGTGGTAAAATACACATAACATAAAAATTACCATCTCAACCATTAAGTATACAGTTCAGTGGTATTAAGTACAGTCATATTACTGTGCAGCCATCATACCATCCATCTCCAAAATTCATTTCATCTTGCAAAACTGAAACTCTATACTCATTTAACATAAGTCCCCAAATTTCCTTTTCCTCAGGCCCTGGCAACCACCTTTCTACTTCCTGTCTCCATGAATCTGAATATTCTAGTTACCAGGGCTCTTTTGCAAGAGGTATCAATTGGTTGGAAAGCTTGCTTTGGGTTAGCTGTAAGGTGGTATGTCTAGCTCATATCTAATTGCATATCCTGATAATCCTAGGAACATCACCTTACCAATAAAAACCAACTTAGTAGATCCTGCCCCACTCTTAACCGATGAACAGAGGAAAAAAGTGGCAGTTATATGTCCTACAAATGTACATAATTTCAAAAATAAATAAATAAATGTACATAATGTCGTTTAACACTGGTATAGGAACTGTTGTGGAACTTAAGGGAGACATACCACTATATACCCAACTTCTCACACAATTTCACACTGAAATTTTTTTTAAAAAGGACTAAAGAAAGAGAAACTTAATATCTAAGATCAATTATGCTATGTTGTTTATGTTGATTCCAGGAAACTCCACTAACATGGTCTGTCTGACTGCTCTTGGCGGCCAGGTATGAACTATTCAAGTCTCTGATATAGCAAGGATGAGCAAGACCGCAATACAGCAGTGTCTCAGCTACAAACACAGATAATCATGGCACATTCTGAACTGAATATGTGCTCCTGATACTCCAACTTTTGAGGCATTTCTTCTGAAGCAGCCATTTTAGCTGGTTCAATTGTATGCAGCTTTTAGGTACGAAAAAACCACAAAGGTTGGTTCTTTGGTAACATTCTCTTGCATCACTAGTTACTTTTGCTTCCTAGGTACCTCTTTTCATTTTCTTTCCAAGAAAGAACAGTGCAGCACCATCTATGCCTACCTTTTCCCCAAAGTTTATAAGAAAAATTAATATGCCCTACAAAATTACAGCAAGAAACACGTACTACCTGCTTTACCTCTCCATAGGCAACACTCTCCATATGTGGAAATTACTCTGCCAGAACTAATTAACTAGGGAGCACCATTTCCCCTACTTCTTATGTCTAGCACCATCCCTATAAGAAAGCCCTCCCTCTGCAGTCCCAAGTCAATGTTCCTTCCTAAATCTTAGACACAAGCTGGATCCCTGGGACCCTACGATGGGCTGTTGTAGACCTGAAATGGCTCAACATGTAACTCGCTGCACAGGGTGTTCAGCTCTTTTTGACAGATGGATATGCTTTTGATGAGCCTCTCCTTCAGGCTTTCCTCTTCAGCAATCATCATATCCAGGAGTTCCTACAAGAGAGAAAACAGTAAGTTTGGGGCCATGGGGGAAAAAACCCCAACATTATCACCAAAACCCTCATCATTTTTAAATTTCAAGAAAGAACTTAAAAACAAACAAACAGAAGGGCTGGCTGGTTAGCTCAATTGGTTAGAGTGCCACCTTGTAATGTCAAGATCAAGGGTTCAGATCCTTTACAAAAACCAAAAAACAGGAAGAGCCTGTGATATCCTAGTGCTGGTGATCAGATGTCACTTCTGTATGCTATCTCAGGTGAAACACCAACATCCTTACACACACCCACCCCACTGCAAAGAGACCAGTACTACTCAAATTCACCTTGATATGCTTCTTTACAACCTCCGTTCTTTGTAACCGCTGGTCTTCTGGAATCCCAATTAATTCCCATATTTCTCGAAGATGATTTAGGGCTTTCTGGAGACATACTATGGACTCCTCCGCCAGCACCTCACTGAAATCAAGCAAAAAAGAAGCCTGTTACATCAGTTACTGCCTTCAGACTAAAAGCAATATTTTCAGGAAGTAAACAGATTAGTTTCTTGGTGGCCTCCAGACTAAAACTAATGGAAAACAAGCATTCAGCTTAATTCACCTTTAACCACTCCCCTTCGCTTCTTCCCCCAAATGCCACATCACTAACAAAGCAAAATTTAATATCACATTACAGTGTGGAAATTCAATCTTCTGAATAATACTCAGAATCTGGACTTTCATCAATGATTCTACCCATGGGAATATAATACAGAATGATAAGTGCTTTTATTAAAGAAAAACCAAAGACCAGCCTGTGACTCACTTGGGAGAGTGCGGTGCTGATAACACCAAGGCCACGGGTTAGGATCCCTATATAGGGATGGCCTGTTAGCTCACTTGTGAGAGCGTGGTGCTGACAACACCAAGTCAAGGGTTGACATCCCCTTACCGTTCATCTTATAAAAAAAAACAAAACCAGACAGAAATGTCAGTAAAATAAACTAACACACACACACAAAAATGAACTAACACAGGAGTTTACTGATAAGAAGCTCCTAGGAAATAGCTGGCAACTTACTACTTTTTGTTGTATTCTTAAGTTATAACTAGTAACCCAAAGAATGGCTAAAATTAAAAAGACAACATCTGTTGGTGAGGATGTAGCAAAGCCAGAACTTTTATACACTGCCAGTATGGTGTGTAAATTGGTACAACCACTTTAAAAACTGTTGGCAGTATCTACCAAAGTTGAACCCAGCAGTTCCACTTCTACCTATGTATCTAGCAGAAATGCATATATGTTCACAAAGGACACATGTAAGAATAGTCACAGGAGACTACTCATGGAAGTAGAAACAGCCTAGATGTCCATCAAGAGAATGGATAAATAGTACATTCCCGCAATTGAATAATACAGCAGCAAAAATGAACAAATAGCACACAACATTGTTAAACCTAAAACATTATGTTGAGCTATGTTAAGTGAAAGAAGTCAAACACAAAACACTACATAGTGTATGGTTCCATTTTATGTCTTTTCTAGAATTAGAAAAGATAAAACTATAGTGAAAGAAAGCAAATTAGTTGCCTGGAGTCAGGGAAGAGGATCAACTGCAAAAGGGCACAAAAACTTTTGGGGGTTATAGAAGGTTATGGAATGGTTCTAGGCCTTGATAGTGATCATATAACTGTACACGTAAAATGAGTCAGTTTTACTGTATGCAAATCATACTTCAAATCTTAAGAGAAGGAGAGGTAAACTTAAAAAAAAAAAAAAAAAAAAGCACACATTAGGCTGAGCAAGAGAAGCCGGACAAGCCAGCATGTATCACTGTGACTCCATTGATATAAAACTCTAACAGAGGTAAAACTAACCTATGCTTTCAGAAGTTGGGATAGTGGTACCCTTTGCCCTGGGGAGGTGTGACTGGGAGAAGACACAAGGAGGGCTTCTGGGGTGCTGCGTACACAGGTGCACTGATTTTGTGCACTTTCTGCATGTACGTTATTTTTCAATTACAAAAAATTTAACCAAAAAAAAGTTATTGTTTATCTGAAATACAAATTTAACTGGCATCCGTATTTTATCTTTTAAATTACAATCATTAGTCTGCTTTACATAACATTTAAAAAACAGATTTTCTCCCTTTACTTAGGTACAGCAGGATAACAAAGACTGCTCTGGCACCAGAGAAACTTACAATCTGCGTGAGATCTGTTACCAGTCAGCCGAGAGTCCTGGAACAAGTCACTTAATGCTCTTCACGTGCTATCCACAAGGGAAAGAGCTAGAGGCTCTTCTTGGCCAGCTTTCTGTCTCAGAACATTCAGTGGTTCTATGCGTCACCAGCCTAGATTTCCAACATCAGTTTCTCTATGGATTCTGATACATTCACATCTAAAACATTTCTCTAGCCATGATGAAATCCCAGTTTAAAGTTTGCCTTTCCTTGGGCCAGCCCATGGCTCACTCAGAAGAGTGTGGTGCTGATAACACCAAGGCCACAGGTTCGGATCCCATATAGGGATGGCTGGTTAGCTCACTTGGGAGAGCGTGGTGCTGACAACACCAAGTCAAGGGTTAAGATCCCCTTACCAGTCATCTTTAAAAAAAAAAAAAAAAAAAAAGGTTGCCTGTTCTTGTTGAAGAAATTTTTGGACAAGTACCAGTTGCCTACATACCAGATGGCCAATTTCAATACCCAGGTATTAACTAGTGTTTAAAAGAATTTTCTCCAGTAGTTTTAGAAATGTAAACAGATAGTTAAGGAATTTATTTAACATAATCCCAGTTAAGTAAAGTCCAACTAAAGTTTCCCCAGGCAAATACCTCCCTTTGCACTTCACTTTGAAGACTAAAGAATGCACAAGTCAAAATCCTAATATGAGCATTTTATTTAAAACAACAACAACCACCAATTTAAGATCTAATCTGTGGTCAATATTCAATCCAAATGCAAAACCCTGGTGTTGGGACAGACCAGCCTGGGGCACTGCTCTAAGGGACACTACTTCAGTGAGTACCCCAGTCTCACAGTCTCACAGTCTGACTGGCCTACCCACTCCTAGCCAATCTCCACATGACAGCTAGGTTTTCATGAGAATAAAATCCATCTGGGCCCTGCTTAACTACTTCCCCCTCAAAGGCTTCCCTCTGCCCTGAGGAAACAGTTCAACTACCTTCTTACGAAAGGCCTTCTAAAATCTCCAGGTTTGTCTCTTAATCTTTCTCACCAGTCACTCCGAGACTCCAGCCAACTGAACTTTCTGAGCATTCTTTTACTGAACCATGTGTAGCAACCATTTTCTGATGCTGCCTTGCTTTTGCACTTTTGGTTCCTTCCACTTGCCACCACCTCCATTGGAGAGCTGTGGACTTGTCACTCACTCACTGTCACCACCCCGACTCCCACAGTAGATCATAAACTCAAGGGCAGAGACCATCACATCTTATCCATCTTCATTTTACCAGACCCTAATGCATAGCAGTTGTTCAGTAAATGTAAAATACGTTTTTTACATTCATTTGGCAGGCCTCGAATTCCTGCCAAATGTTACCTATGCTCCTAACTTTCGGCTACCGTCAGAGTTTATGCGCTATAGGCAAGACTGCCTAGCTCTCTGTAACACATCCAGAAGGAAAAGTGATGTTTTTCTGAACAATAAAAAAGCAGCATAATGGGTGCGAGGAAAATAGAGTAGTTTAGTCAGGCCCCCTCACCTCAGGTCCTCAGTTCGGGTTAGGTGTGGTGCAGCACACTCTTTGTAAACAAGTTGTGTGGAGTGGAGTTATGTGCGCGTGCACGGCTCTGTATTTTTAGCTTGTTGCTATTCTTTTGTGTTCTTAGGTGTGTGAAGCAGGGCTCTGAACTGCTGGTTGGCAGAGCTCCTGTCTAAAAATAGAGCATGTTTACTTTGTGGGCAGCTGCTCAGTTTTTTCTTTGGACTACCTAGCTCTTAGACGTGTGTACTGAATAAAGCTTATTATTTCTTTACCCATGACTCCAAGCACCTTTTCCTGTTACATTGCTCATAGATCTGCATGTGAAGGGTTTGTGAATGGGCTCCAGGGGTCTGTGAGCTCCAGCCCTAGTTCTACAATGGGCAAAGAATCTGAACAGACATTTCTTCAGAGAAGACACAAAATGGCCAATAAGTACATGAAAAGATGCTCAACAACATTAGTCATCAAAGAAATGCAAACCAAGACCATAATGAGATAGTACTTTTTTTTTTTTGACTGGTAAGGGGATCACAACCCTTGGCTCAGTGTTGTCTGCACCACGCTCAGCCAGTGAGCGCACCAGCCATCCCTATATAGGATCCGAACCCACGACCTTGGCGCTAACAGCACTGCACTCTCCTGAATGAGCCACAGGGTAGGCCCCATAATGAGATAGTACTTTACAGCCATGAGGATGGCTATAATCAAAAAGACAGATGATAACAAGTATTGGTGAGAATCTAGAGAAATCAGAACCCCATACACTGCTTGTGGGAGTGCCCCCATCTGTGCAGCCATTTTGGAAAACAGGCAGTTCCTTGAACAGTTAAATATAGTTAATACAACCCAGCAATTCCACTAATACCCAAGAGAGGTAAAAACGTTCATACAAAAACTTGTACAGGAATGTTTATAGCAGCATTATTTATAATAGCCAAAAAGTGAAAACCACACAAATGGCCATCAGCTAATGAATGGGTAGATAAAATGGAGTATATAGCCATACTATGGAATATTATGGCAATAAACCTTGAAAATACTATGCTAAGTCAAAGAAGCAGTTCTTAAAAGACCACACAGTTATGATTCCATTTATATGAAATATCCAGAATAGACAAAAAGATAGATTAGCAGTTGCCTGGGGAAGAGGGGAAGGGAGGGAGCACGGACCACGAGGCAAAAAGGAGACTTGATTGCCAATGGGATTTTGGAGGGATGATGAAATGTTCTAACACTGCAGTGATGATTGCCCAACTCTGAATATTCGAAAAAAATCACCTATTGTACTTTTTTTTTTTTTTTTAAAGATGACCGGTAAGGGGATCTTAACCTTTGAGTTGGTGTTGTCAGCACCACGCTCTCCCAAGTGAGCCAAAGGCCAGCCCTCTGATTGTACATTTATTTTTATTTTTATTTTTGTCTTTTGTCTTTTTCCGTGTCTGGCAACGGATCGCAACCCTCAGTGTTGCCCCCGTACCGGACCGGGAACCGGCAACGGGATTGCAACCCTTGATGTTGCTCCCACGCCTCGCTCAGCCAGTGAGCGGGAACCGGTCTGTATGTGGGATCCGAACCCTCGGGCGGGAGCGCCGCCGCGCTTCCCAAGCGGCGCACTATCCAGTGTGCCACCGGGCCGGCCCTGATTGTACATTTAAAGTAGGTGAATTATATGGTATGTGGATTATATCTCAAAGCTGTTATTAAAAACATCTGGCATTGGGCCGGCCCGGTGGCGCACTGGATAGTGCGCCGCT